CCGGGTTTAAGGACACGCGAACGGGGCCTAAGTTATTTTGTAGCCAACTACAGGGTAGTAGTTATATATATATATATATAAACGGGGCCTAAGATTTCAAATTGTTGGACTAAACTCTAAGTTAGCGAGTTTGAACAAAAAAAAAGGTTATGCAAGAAAAATAGTACTCTCTCCGTCCACTCTAGCACACAGTACCATGTTTTTAGTATCATGAGCTTGACTAAATATCAAATGAAAAGTATTAATATTTATAGTATCAACTACATATCATAAGATATATTTTTATATTATACTTAATTAATGTCATAAATATTAATATTTTTATCTATATATCTGGTCAAACTTTAGACACGTCGGCCTAGAATACACCTAAAATTGCATTTTTTTTCTTGGAAAGAGGCGGTGTGTATGTTCTCTCTCCCGTGTGAACACAGCTATACTCCATCTGTCCTAGTTAGTTGTCGCCGTGGTTTATGTGCCGAAAGTTTGACTCGATTTGCAGAAAAATAAATGCAACATTTATATCTCTAAATAAATTTATTAAAAAGCAGATTCAAATATCTATGTAATGATATTAATTATGTACCGTAAATATTAATATTATATATATATATAGTTAAAATTATTTTTTGGCAAACGAAAACGATAGATATCCAGATAAAGGAGGGACTATATAACACAGCTATATATATATATATAGCCTGTTCGGGAGGCCGTATCGTATCGTGGATTATTTACTGCTGGCTGGTTTGGTGTGAGAGAAAAACACTGTTTCCAGCTAGAAATTTACGAGCAAGCGAACATGCTATATATAGTAAATACTAGGAATAGTACCTCACTTGGGATTATATAAATAAATGGGAGAAAAGCGACTGGTTGGGCTGAGGACGTGGAACTCCAAACTCCCACATGCTAGCGCAGAAAGAGCTACTGCAGGGTCGTACACGTACCGTCGCAGTCGCAGGGCATGGCCACACCACACTGTACTGTGGATCGGAATCGGATCCACTGGGTTATAATTATATTTATATTTATATATAACACTATTTAGCTCACTATATATAAACAGTCTCAGTTGCTGATGTATTTCCGTTATGCCAGTAATAATGGAAATGGGGGATATATCACCCTCGCTTCAAAACAAAAAATACGTGTTGAATCACCGTAATAACAGTAAAATCCCGAGCCACCTCCTGTAGACTGCGGTAGTAAACTTTTTGAATGTCCACGCTATCACAACTGTAAATTAGGTGAAAGTGAAACCCCAATCGTGCGTAACCTCACAAATAATGCTCCAATCCGCGGGGCCGGGCCCGTCGCTGTTGTTGGCCCAATCGTGCCCGTCAGCCGCTGCTCTCGGCCCCACCGTGCCGTCGCCACTGTGTCGCATGTGTGTGTTTATTATACATATATACACAAATATAAATATATTATTACATATACGTGCTCTATACTTTGTAGGCTATATATGTGCGCGCGCGCGCATATATATATATATACACACACACTACAATATATCTAGTTACAGTGAGTATTAATGGAGGGCATCAAGATAAGAGTAACGAGATCACGATAGATCGGAATGTTGCATATGTTGTAATGGTTATATACGTACGTCTGTTCCAAATGTTTTATCTGTGTTTTCAGAAGAATGTTGCATATTATGTTTATTTTGGATGTTGCATATGTTTCACACATATGTTGCAAGTATTTTATCTAGATGTTGTATATGTTTTGCAATGGCTTTTCAAGTGTTTTCAATTTTTTTTGCAACTGTTTTAGATGCATGTTTCAAATGTTTCATCTGTCTTCATACGTATATTGCAAATGTTTCGTCTGATGTTTTAAAAGTAGATTAGGTGTTGCACATGTTGCAATGGCGCCGATGGCTGGCGGACAGCGGCCTGCCGCAGGGCTTCGGCTCCTACCTCGCATGGTGCGCCTTGCCCTCTCCTCTCCTCTCCCTCCCCTCTCCTCCCTTCCCTTCCCTACATCTAGCCATAGCAGTTCGAGCTTGGCGGGGACACAGAGGGGCGCATACGGCCCCACGTGTGGGCGGACGACGTGGGTGGGGCGAGTCGTCCGAGCAGCGCGGAATCCGAGCAACTGGGGTGCACTGCACGGAACAAGAGCGGGAAACGGAGAGCAACCACGGGCGTACGGACGCGTGTGTTCATCCGGACGTCCGGGCACTAGCACTTGCCAACCTCAATCATGCACAACCTCACAAATAATGCTCCAATTGCCAGGGCCCGGGCGGACTCCACCGCGCCCATCGCTATTGTTGGTCCAATCGTGCCCATCATCGCTTCTCTCGCCCTATCGCGTCGTCGCCGCTCACTGCTTTTCTAGGACAGTCATGATGGTTTGTAGGGATGGTTGGGGGCGGCCGTTCCTACCCATCCATCTCTGAAATCATCGAACCGTGACATTTTTTTGCCCAGCTCAAGTCACAAAGTCACGGCAGGTCCGAACCTACGACTTCACGCCTTGTGCATTACTCTTCTAACCACTCCACCCCATACTCACTTGTGTTCATATGAGATATTCTTTCTTTTCAGATTATACTCATTTGATTATTTTAAATTAAAAAGTTGTCAGCTATAAAGTTGTATAACATTTTGTGCTCTACAACTTTAGTTTTGGTAATTTCTCCATCCGAGGTCGTTTTAAATTTTAAATTTTAAATGTGAGAACTTCAAACATAATTTTGTATGGATAGATGATTTTAAATAAATAAAAAGTTGTCAACTACAAAGTTCTATAACTTTTCAAGATCTTCAACTTTCGTTTTGGCAGTTTCTCCATCCAAGACCGTTTGAAAAATTCAAATTGCAATACTCCCTCCATACTAAAAAATAAAGTCGTTTTGGACAGCGACACGGTCTCCAAAGTATTACTTTGACTCCTTGTTTTTATAAAAATATTTATCAAAAAGTGATATATGTATATTTTTATGAAAGTATTTTTCAAGACAAATCTATTTATATAACTTTCACATTTCTAAACTCAACAACTTAAAAGTTATTTATGATTTATATTCCCAATGTTTGACCCAAGCCTGGTCCAAAACAACTTATTTTTTAGTACGGGTGAGTATATAATTTTACTGTTCGACGCTCATTTTCAGAGGCGGCTATAGATCCAGCCATCTCTAGAAATCGATTTCTATAGGAGCGACGGGATCTAGAGCCGCCCCTTCAAATCGATTTATAGATAATGATTGTTTTGAAACTACTGTTAGAGACTATTTTAGATTGAACCGCCCTTATTAAAAAAAGAGAGAGAAGTCTCTACGGATGCTTTTTTAGCAGTTACTGCTAGCATGTGTGTGTGTATATAATATATAGTCTATACTTTATGGGCTATATATGTGTGTAGAGAGAGGCACACACACATTGAGTATTAATGGAGGGCATCATCAAGATTCAAGAGTAACGAGATCCTGATCGATTGATTTTATTGTGATCCACGTAAGAAATGATTAATGAATAAGAAGAAGAAAAAAAAAGATCTTGCATGCATGTGTGGGTGCCGATTTCTGACCTGTACGTAATGTATGTAGGAGATAATATAATATACGAGTAACTATCAATTTCTCCACATAATTTGCAGTGGGATGGAAGCGCATTGCATGCCAATGCATTATGCATATGGATGTATATATGTGGGCCTACTATACACTGCAAATTGCCGTGTTATGAGGGTGGACCTACTTCTTCATCACTTGATAAAGTCATGCACTCGATCTTGCACATGTGTGTGGGCCGGCCGGGTCCATGCATTCACTTGACAGCTAGTCTTGCAGCTCATGTTCTGCGACTAAATATTACTATATGCGTACCTTGGTTATGATAATCGTTAATGCTTGAATGAAAAAATCTAGACAAGGAGAAACGTACTTCGAGAGTTTTCAACCGCAAGGAACTACCGTATCAACAATCTTTTTATTTTTTTGGACATCATGAATTTTTCATTTCAAAGTAATAATAATGTGAAAAACGAATTTGCAAGAACCATATATATATTAGTATGTAGATGGAATATAGCTGTCATCCAACTCTAGCGACCTCTTTCATACATGACGGAATAAATTGCCTCGAGTGATCGAGCGTGCAAATAAAGGTCTAGAAACCCTAGCTTTAAATTTCACACACAGTAATAGCAGTAGTAGTCAACAACATCAAACAGTTCCCTCTAGGTAATCCTTGCTTTAAACATCAAAGTGTTGTAGAAAGGGAAAGCATGCATGTGCAATATTATACTCACTCCGTTCTAAATTATAAGCCACTTTGACTTTTTTGATACATTGAATTTGTTATGTACATACATTATTTCTAGATACATAGGAAATTTGACGTACAAAAGAGTCAAAGAACTGAGGGATGATTATATATACACACATATAAAGCAAGCCCAATAATAGAGCCGAGGGTTTGGCTATAAGTCAAGTTGTAAGATAAGCTATACAACAGTTGTATCTTATTTGTCTTATATAATTTTTTTATTATTGCTTACACATGTCGCACCTTCTCATTCCTAAATCTCCTCATGTTCATTTGATGTCTAGGCCCACCACTGTATAGGCTTCCATATCTAGCTTATTACTTGCATCAGTCAAGTTCTCCTTCCTCTTCCCTCGCTCTTCTCTCTACATAAAACAATTAATCATTGTACATGAGTGAAAACAAAACCATTACTATACTTGCTCTTAGACATGAGTGAAAACAAAACAATTACTGTACGTCTGTACTTGCTCTTAGACATGAGTGAAAACAAAACCATTACTGTACTTGCTCTTAGACATGAGGTGAAAACAAATTAGCTGTGCTCACGTAGTCACGTAGTTGCTACTTGCTACCAAGCTCTCTCGTCCAGTCGTCCTACTCCTATATATAACGTACCGTCACACTCTTCATGGGCACAACTCCAGAAGCTTAGCTGCAGGTAGCTAGCCAGGCACCGGCCGCCGGAGACACAAGCTAGTGGCCGGATCGACGATGGGCAGGCCGCCGTGCTGCGACAAGGTGGGGATCAAGAAGGGGCCATGGACCCCGGAGGAGGACATCATCCTGGTGTCCTACATCCAGGAGCACGGCCCCGGCAACTGGCGCTCCGTGCCCATCAACACCGGCCTCATGCGCTGCAGCAAGAGCTGCCGCCTCCGCTGGACCAACTACCTCCGCCCCGGCATTCGGCGCGGCAACTTCACCCCCCACGAGGAAGGCATCATCGTCCACCTCCAGTCCTTGCTGGGCAACAGGTGGGCCGCCATTGCTTCTTACCTCCCGCAGAGAACAGACAACGACATCAAGAACTATTGGAACACCCACCTCAAGAAGAAGCTCCAGAAGCAGCAAGCCATCGGCGCCATCTTCGCGCCACGTCCGCCCTCCGAACCTTCCATCATACCGGTGGCGGTACCCACTGCCGCCGCCGGCCATGCTGATTGCCATCATGATGACATGACCCTCTCCAAGGACAGCTACGCTCGCCCAGCCAGCAGCACACCAGCTCCAGCTGATGAGGTCACCCAATTCATCGGCCAGTGCTCGCCGCCGTTCGCTGCCACCAACGGTGACACCTTCTCGTCGCCGTACGCCTCCAGCATGGACAACATATCCAAGCTGCTCAACGGCTTCATGAAGAGCTCCCAGACGCAGGATGACGCTGCTACCAATATCAAGCCCTCCTCGGTCATCGACATCAACCCTTTCGATCACAAGTCCGGCGGTGCACTACCACCCATCTCCGACGACGTGCCACTGCTGATGCCGCCGCCGCAGCAGCAGCAGCAGGCGTTGACGGGACACGGGGATTACCACAAGCCCAAGCTGCAGCAGCTGTCCTCCATAGAGAAGTGGTTGTTCGACGAGGCCCCCGAGCAGATGGAGATCTCCGACGGCTATTGCTCAGTTCCCAGCATGCTGCTTTAGCTCCAAGAAAGAAGCGAACATGATAGCCGATACACGTGATCGAGTTGGGTAGGTTAATTTGTCGGTGCAAGTTACTTTAGGAGAATTTTATTACATATACGTTTTATTTTACACAAGCATGAGATAAGAACAATACATGCATAGTCAAAATTCCCAAGTAAGAGGCACCGCCATCTAGTTAGTGACATGTTACTTGTGTAGATAGTTTGACACTGGCAATCACAAGTCACAAAAATAAGAGCAAGTATACGGGCCTGGCTAGTTATTAGCTGGAGCTAAAAATTAGCATAAATTAGCTAGGGTTGGCAAACTAGTTGGCTAATAACTAGTTGAAGGCATGGCTAAAAATTAGCCCACATATTAGTCTCCTGTTTGAATGGGCTGGGACTAATGTTAGCTAATTTTTAGCTGGCTAACAATTAGCCCTTGTAACCAAATAGGCTCTGATAAAGGGTTGTAAGTAGACTTTATGCTAAGATGTATGAGAGAGAAGAGAAGTGATATGTAAGTTTACAACCAGCTAGGGTTGTAAATGTACATCCAGCCAGCAGTGGTTGTATTATTAGTCATGCTCTAAGAGATAGTAACATGAATAAGCAATTATGACCAAATAAATGATATGTAAGCATGTCAAGATGATGTAATTACGTTACTTGTATCTGATATTTTCCTTGTGCATAACTGAGATGCATTCAGAATTTCAGATCAGTTGAATGAGTGTTTTGTTTGTATATGTCCATTGATAGAGCTAGAGTTATTTCCTTTTCTAAACAAAATAAATGTAAATTTACTTAATTATGTATGTCTGTAGTGAAAGTTTTTACTTTATACCTATGCCTAGTGAGCATGGAGTAATAAAAAGGAAAATCAACCAAGCTTGAATAAACTAGGTGGCCTTTTAATCAAGAAAATAAGAAATAGGTACCCAAGTTGACCTCAACAAGAACTTAAAATTGAGTGGGAGATAGGCTCCATTTCTCTAGCAAGCATGGAGTAGACCATGCATTCCATGACTTGTTGCCGCACTTCTTTTGTATCTTTTGGCAGTACGCAGTAGCATACTATTTTATTTTGTTAGATATATACAAGCTGCAGAGAGGTGTACTACTCAAGGAAAAAATAATAAATAGAAGAACGAACCTGCAGAGAGGTGAAGCAATTGCAGTCTCGGCAAGCAGATGGTCCCTGATCACATTTAGTGCAGAAAGAATGTTGGCCCCCGATCTTCCACACGGGTGAGCCGACCGCTCACCGATGTGCCGACTATACACTATGGCTAGAGGTAAAAAAAAGAAGAGAGAACAAAGCACACACACAGCATAAGCATCAGCGTTGGCCGGAGCTCTGCAGAGGAGATGGCAAAACTGAACTCAGCTCTCTTTACTGAGTTGCAGTAGAAAACTATATATACAACTCTACCCATCTAATCCTAGTACACAGACATGTCAGGCTGCCATGCTGCTACAGTTACTAGATATGACAGCAGGACTGACTTTGGTGTTTGCCCCTGCTGTGGCTACAGTGCGGCAGAGGAGCCTTTCAGTGCATGCCCCTACAGCGGCTATAGTGCAACAGCAGGGGAGCCCTTTCAGCGCCTGCCCCTACCACGCGTACAGAGAAGAGCAGCAGATTACTTAACAATTCTTCCTCTAATCCTACTGCTAACCCTAGAACCTCCACCATGCCGATCATCTTCTTCAGCTCCGTGAACCGAAGACGGCCGAGCGGCTTGGTGAGGATGTCCGCGAGTTGCCGACCAGTTTCGACGAACTCGATGACGATCTGCCCTCCATCGACACAGTCCCTAAGTAGAATTTGACGTCGATGTGTTTGCTCCGGTCGTGGAGAACCGGATTCTTCGCAAGGGCGATGACGGGCTGGTTGTCCACCATCAATACTGATGGGTGAGCTTCCACACTGGTCAGCTCGCCCAGCAGCCAGCGCAGCCACACAATTTGGCACGCCGCTGTGGCCGCCGCTACGTACTCTGCCTCGCACGTGGACAGCGTCACCACCTTCTATTTCAACGACAGCCATGAGATTGAAGCCTACCCGAGGAAGACGAGCACGCCAGAGGTGCTCTGTCGTCCGTCGATGTCCCCCGCCATGTCTGCATCGCTGAACACAGTGAGTTGTAGCCCACTTCCGCCGGTCTTGGGGAAGATGATCTCCTGATCCACCATCCACTTGCGTAGCGCAGCAGCCGCTTCACCGCGGCCCAGTGATCCTCTCGGGGATCCTCCATGAAGCGGCTGACGTAGCCCACGGCGAACGCAATGTCCGGCCTCGTGTGGACTAGGTAGCGCAGACCGTCGACGATACTCCGGTAGAGTGTTGCATCTACCTTCATCGCGGTACTGGCCTTCGTCGGCTTCAGCCGCTCCTCCATCGGAGTCACGCACGACTTGCACTCAGCCATGCCGCTCCGCTCCAACAGCTTCGAGGCGTACGCGCTCTGACCGAGGGTGAGCGCCTCCTTCCCCTGTCTCACCTCGATGCCGAGGTAGTAGGAGAGTGCGCCGAGATCGCTCATTCGAAAACGAGCCGCCATCTCGCGCTTGAAGCTATCGATGTCCTCCGCACGCGTACCGATGACGATCAAAGTCATCCACATACACGCCGACGACGAGCTCCTCTCATCATGGATTGAGCCATGTCGACCACCGTCTGGTTCCGCCGCTCCACCACGCCATTCTGCTTTGACGAGTACGATGTGGTATGGTGTCGCACCACACCCTGATCCGCGTAGTACGCAGCGAACTCCACCGAAGTGAATTCGTCGTCGTGATCAGTCCGCAACACGCGCAGCTGCGTTAGCCGGAGCTCTGCAGAGGAGATGGCAAAACTGAACTCGCTCTCTTTACTGAGTTGCTGTGGGAAACTATATATACAACTCTACCCATCTAATCCTAGTACATAGACATGTCAGGCTATCATGCTGCTACAGCGACTAGATGTGACAGCAGAGCTGACTTTGGCGCCTGCCCCTGTTGTGGATACAGTGCGGCAGGGGAGCCTTTCGGCGCCTGCCCCTGCCGTGCGTAGAGGAGAGCAGCAGATTACTTAACAAAAAAAGCCTGCTAGCTTCGGATTTTTATTTTATTATTTCCTGCCCTGTCCCTCCCCACTCCCCCACCCCTAACCCACACTCCCACATTCATTTAGTGCAAATCGTTCCTTTTCCTTTCAAATGTTCAATGCTTCCATGCAAAATTGAACAAGTGTTAAAGCATTTATGCAACAACTTGCAGTGAAAAATACGAATACCTGAAACCATGGTGCAAAGTGCAAACTATAGGCATGGATGTCGCCTAGCTAGTAGCAAGTCATCAACATAAGTAGAAATGCATTGCTAGTTAAGTAGTTAGATACATGTCAAACTGAATCCAAAGGTGTAACTCAGACTGCTGACGTCAGTATCTCAGAGAATATATGACAGTATTCCATTACTAAGACATTATTGATGTGTCCTTCAGTATATGTCCCTTTTATGTCATTTGAAGAACAACATAAAACTCTCCGAGAGCTTATCAAAAAAAAAACTTTCCGAAAGTCCATGGATATATCTCAAAGAGTTCTAAGTAACCTACAATGCACAACAGGCAACTAAGCCTACTGGCCAAGAAACAGAGACAAGCTATCACATACTGCTGATTGAAAAACAGCATAAGCCAGAACCCACAACCGCTGGCACTAGACACTGTGCCTGGCATGCTACTGACATAAATAATTGCAACAAAAGAGCCTGGCATGCTACTGACATAAATAATTGCAACAAAATGCCGTGTGTAAACTTCACAAATCAATGGTATATTTCTTTTGTTAAAAATGTCCAATTTAAAAGGTATATTAGGTCGTTAGATGAGGTCAAAACTGACCTGACAGAGCAAGCTTAGGCTGACGACATCTCAAGCTTTGATTGTGCTGCCTGTACAACCGTCTAGCCTGTCTCTGAAATCCCAATGTCACACACCTGATGAGAGTACCTGACCCAGCTCGCTTGGTGCAACTAGATGTCTCAGATCAGAATATCAGATGGCATGGACCAGATATCATATCAGCATGCACCGTTGAGGCTTTGTTCTGCACCAACCACAGACAGGAATTTTAAGTCCATTCATAGTCTAGGTAACTGATATGATCAAGTCTCCAGCCAAATGAAGGACGGCAACCTTCTGTGTTCTTGCCACTGCCAGAAATAGGCGACTAAGGGGGTGAGGGCCATCTGTACCCAGCCAGAAAGGCAATCCTTCCACTCTTCAGTTATTCAAACTAAAATATGAAACAATAGCTGAACTTGATTGATCTTCATGTGTATGTGTTGTATGTTGATTAAAGGCAAGCATGGATGGAGCTTAGTGATGGCCAGGGTGGGCCATGGCTCCCGTCACTTTTCCTAATCCATGGGGGAAGCATTAGGCCTCAAGGCTAAATTGAAGCTTAAGCATGGAACTGATCCCCTCTTTCTCATGTATTCTCACTATATTAAGTGGTGGTCCCTCTAAATTTCCAGTCAAGTTCCACCACTGAAGGCAAGGCCATCATAACTGCATGTTTAACCTATCCATGCAAAGCATCCAACAACTTCGTACCTGCAGAGAGCACAGTAAGCATAGATTAGAAGCATACATCTCAATCAAGAGAGACATCAGAGTATGGCTCCCGTCACTTCGAATATGGACTTTGAGATGTACATCGATTCGAATAGCCGTCTCTCCCGGATAGTAAGAAACCGGATCACTGCTCTACATCGTAGTAAATCAATGAAACATGATGACTTATGGATATGAGAAGAAAATGAGTTGAGATGTTTAAAGAAGTGATTGATTTAGATCAGGTGCAAACTGGATATTGATATGGACTTAATACACCGTTAAAACATTGAAAGTAAGGATTCACTCGTAGTAAGCTTTTCTGCAAAAGTTACTCTTGCTTCAGACCTTCCTTTAAGCCTTCATACCCTTGGAGTCTTTTCTTTTAATCGGGTAAGTCTTGTTGAG